ATTACAAAAAGTTTAAATAGTTTTTAACTTTATAGAATTATTTTAAAAATTCAAAAATTATTTTAATAAATTTTAAAAATAAAACCTATCAGAATAGTCAATTTTATAGAAAATTGAGATTTTATAAGCCTTACTAGGTCCAAAAATTTAATCAAAAATCAATTTATTTTCTACACCATTTGATTGCTGGGACTCTAAATGATAGGAGGACAAAAACAAATGTTTAAATAAAGAAATATGGACAAAGTCACAATGCACAATCATTCTGTTTTCATTCGTACACATTTTATTCTTTAGATTTTCGTATTATTTTTATATAAACACACATGAGGGGGAAGCGTTTTATCACCCAGTGTAATGAATTAGCACAATTTAATTGTTTGCGAGATAAGAAATGAAATTTGTTGGTTAAGTTTCAGAACAAAGCTAATATTGAGTTGCTAGATTGCAATTTTATTTCCTAGCAAATTTGAAAATTTAGTATTTAACTTTAATTTAACTTTAAACAATCAACAAATTTCACTTTTTCTCATTTAGCTCCAATTTTCAAATCTTAAACAAAACTTTCAATAAAACAAACTCAACACAACTGTCAAAATATTTAAAAAGAAATTCTCAAAAAAAATGGATAACAACTTAGTTCAAAAGAAATATTAAAGAAGATGTAAAATGAAGCAACAATCGTTTTGTTTTTCGTCATTAACAAACAACAGAATACACAAAAGAAGAAGAAGAAGAGAAGTTCTCACTTATAGAATGAAAAATAGACAAAAACAAGTTGTATAGAAAAAGTTGAGATCTTTTGAGCGCAATTTCTAGGGAATTTGGAAAATTTTATGTAGATTTAGAATTATAAGTTTAATTGAAAATTGTGAATTAATTATGTTAAACAAATTCAAGAGTTTCAAGTTCGAATGATTATTTACTTAATCTAAAAATCAATATTTTATGTAAGATTCGAACAGCTATTTTGAAATTTTAATCAAATTTTTAAACAAATTGTTCTTATTCTAAGTTTCGAACCAATGATAAGTTGAGAAGTGTTTTAGGATTTAGCAGTGGATTCAGTTTCTAAATTATTAAACCAATGCAACACTGAGCCATTTCAAATTTAGATCATTTCCTTAACAATAATCTACTTAATATTTCATTAAATTCCTAAAGCGATTTGCAAAATATCAACACTTCTTCACAAAAACTGCGCTCAAAATAAAGTCCAGAATCGAAAGAAAACGAAATGAAAGAACAAAGTTAAAGAGTAAACAATTGGCAACAGATTAATGTCAACTACAAATGAAAAAGAAACAAAAAGTATACAAAACATAAATGAAGATACAATTTTTGTAAAAAAAAAACTCTAGTCAAAGCTTTTGAATTGAATTCATTAGAGCGTTCGTTATTGTCTACAATATTCAGTTCAATAAAACAGAAGAAATAAACTAAAGAACTGAGAATGAAGTAGAAAAAAAAATAAGTTTTTGATATAAAAAGAAGAAATCATAAAAGAAGTGTGAAGAATTGAATGAATTGATGATTTTTAAATTAAAAGTCATAACAAACTATATAAAAAAAAGTTAATTAACTCAACATTCAAACTGAAGAACTTTTTGACTTGTGAAATTAACGGAATTATAAATTTTACACGGATTTTAATTTCTTTGTATTTGATTGAGATGAACTTTATATTTAAACTTGTTTAGTTTTTCATCGTTTGATGTCTTTATTGTTGTTGTTGGAATAATTGGAATTTTATGATAAGTAGAAGTATGCACAATTGTGTGATAGAACATTGAGTTCGTTGTGATGTTGAAAAGATGATGAGCTTGTCACTGAACTTGATAATAACCCTAATAGCACAAGTCGGTTAATCAAATAGAATTCTGGTGCCAAGCCTGCATGACTCTAGCATGATGTTGGCTTTGATTTAAATCGAGCACCAGAGTCACGCAGGCTTGGTGCCGAATTTCTGATCGATTAACTGACATGGCACAAGTCTTGAAATACTTAAAAAAAGGTTAATTTTTGTCAGAAACAAAACTTAAATAGTTGAATTTCAAAATTCACAAATCAAAAAAAAATAGAGACTTTTAAATATTTCTACCTCAAAATCCCATTGCACCTCATCCACATCACATTAATCTCAAGTACTTATCAATGACATTCACCCTACAACAACAATAAAATCCCCAAACATAATGAAAAATAAAAAAAAAATTTCACATTTATTTCCTTGCATTTTTAATTTTCATCATCATATTTTTAGTGTATTTTGTGATAAATTTTTCATGTTGAACAAACAGACAAGAGGAATTAGACGCACACAGGGTATGAACATTAGACAAAAACACAATACCCAAGATTACATATTGAAAATGAACATTTTTCAACTCTCTCATTCTCATTTTCCTCTACAGTGGTTGAGCATTAGTAATCATAGAAGCTACTAACAGCTAATATTAGCATGGTTTTTCTACTACGATGGTCAAAGAGAATCGTACATGATGAGGATGATGGAAGAAAAAAAAAACTTTAATACAATTTTAATCCTTTTTAATATGACCGAAAAAAGATGATGGAAAAATTGTTTTTTACTTTTGCTTGTGGTCCTTTTTAATATTTCATCATGATGAAAAAAAAAAAGAAATCATCTTTTGCAGTTGTTATTAGCATTATGATTATATAACTTTTGTATCCTTGTTGTGGTTCCCTGCGGGGATATTTGGGATGAATTTTGAAAACTTTAATAGACTAAGAAAAGGTCTAAGTGGGGGTACATGGGATGCAAAAGGAGAGAGATGTTATAGGTTTTTTTAGGGATGGAACATAAAGGTTTCTGAGAAATGCCTTGATGGAAATGAATTTATGCTTTAAAATTGGCACATTGTAGGCTCATGAATGGGAATGAACGAGGCTCTTAAAAGAATCTTAAGGACCAAGGTGAGATACCATTAAAGATTATTGGTAAGTGATATAAGATGGTTAAATGAAACCCTTTGAGGAGCGATGTAGAAGCAGTCCCTTAGAGGAGTACAAATAAAAGTCTACTGAAGAACCTATCCTATTCAGGCTGTATCGAAAAAATCCTTTAATATTTCCAAACATTTCTTCACAATTTCCTCACAAGGGATCACAAGCATTCATCTCCTTACATAACATTTCCTCATCTCATATGTACATTTTATGTATGACCATCTGAATGCTCTGCAGAATAATTCGTATGAGATGAGCATTTTCAATTTTTCTCTTGGGGGGATGTAAACAAAAGCAGAAAAAGGAACTAAATAAAATAAGATTTTTTTTTGAGGAAGAAAAAACAAAACAAAAATGAAACAAAAAGAGGAAAAGTGGAAAGGGGATTTTTTTTGCAAAATTAAATTTTTTTGTTTATTCCATAAAAGAGGAAAAGAAGAAAAAATTGGATTTCCATAATGATAAAAATACTTTTCTCATAAAAAATCATTTTTATTTTATTTCAATTTTCCTTTTTCCCTTGCTCTATTGCTTTCATTCTGGCTCATTCTGGGTTGTGAGTGAGAGAATGAAATGTTAACAGAGGGAAAAGAGTAAGCAGAGTTGGTAATGGGTCAGGTATTTATAGTCAAATATTGCTTTTTTGGAGCACTTGAAACTTGATGATTTAAAACAAGTTGCTCAACTAATTCAGACCCCTTCCAACCCTGTACTTTCTGTAGGAAAATGAAATAAATCCTCAATCAAATTTCCATTCTCAGTGACACAGTTAAGTGATTTAAAAAAATCACAAAACAAACTTCTCTTAAGACAATTCCGTTTATCATCTCATAATTATCTATGGCACTGAGAAATGAGATGAAGAATCGAGAAAAGCAAACGTCAAGAGGATTAATAAAAGATTTTTTTTATCATTCCCAGATTGAAATGATATAAAAAAGAGAGAATCTTTCACAAACAAAAAAACGAAAGCAATTAATGCATCATAAAATTATATAAATATGTATATTGCCCCAGCGGATTTAAAAAATCATCAGAGAGGTTTGCTGTTTTTTTTTTTTATATTTCTCCATTTTGTACTCATAAATTCATGACAATCCGCTTTGTTGTCAGGATCTATAAATATTTTTTTTTTGCATATTTTCTCCCATTTTAAAAGGATTTTTTTTTCAGCAATCAAGGAGATTAAAATATTTTTGCACTTAATCTCCCCCACTTTAGCAATGATACATATAAACTCGATAAATATTCTTGCACTTTTTTTTCGTGCCTGCAGGGAAATTTTACTGAGTAGTAAGCAATTATCGACTTTGCGAATGAAAAATTTTTTTATGTGCTGTTCACTAAAAATTTGCAATCATTGATTTCTAATGGTTGGGTTGTTTTGTGAGGAATTATAGGCAAGTTTAGTGGGGTTGTGTGACTTTTGGTGTACTTTTTCGAATAATTTGGAGGAAGAAAAATATTACCGGTTTTTTTAAATTCAAATTCCTTATTCAGTTTAAAAATTTACTCACTTGAAGAATTTTGATGTTAATTTCTCACTAATTAAAGTGTTTAAAAGCTTAGAATTGCTAAATTTGACAACTTAAGCGCGGAGCAAGCTCAATTCAAACAATTATATCACTATAATGATCCAAACTTATAGAAAAGCTCTTCATAATCAAATAACCACGTGCTTTTCCAACCAAATTGCATTTTATATTCAAAATCTAACATCATTCACAAAAAGGTACGCCAAAAAGTCAATTGCTTAGTGGTTAAAGTAAGTAAAATCGATTTGAAAGTCAATTTCAAGTGCGATGATCGTTAAAAATTGTTTTTTCGATTATTGCAAAGTCACTTTCAAGCATTATTGTGCCTATATACAATACAATAAAAGGTGAACTCATTGCTTTGTTTTGTTTACGTGGGGGAGAAAAACAAACAGCAGTTTAGTCTTAAAAATTATTTTTATGTTCTACACGAATAACGAAAAAAATTAAAATTTGTGAAAATAAAATAATTGAATTGAAATAAGTCAAACTCACCTTTCTCCATATTCATCCTTATGTGCATACGATTGCACACTGTTTTCTTCAATTAAGAATTTGACACGCTGATAGAACGATGCAGTCACAGATGGCGGTTGTTTACGGAGTAAAACATCAACGGGATCGTTCGATGATAGGCACATAATGTGATCTCCACATACCGGATGTTGGCAGCACTCGCTATCTGAACAATCAGTCATGCCGTCTGAAAAAAAGTAAGGAAAAAGAAAATTGATAAATAAATAAATGAATTTGCTGTATATATGCCACATGCACAATTGACAATTTAATTAGTTTTTCAATATTCCGCATATCTCTTTCATCATCAATTGAAGCATCAACTAATGTTGTTCGATACGGCGTATTTTAGGTTATATCAATTTTGCGGTTCAACTATGCATCTTTACATGAAATGTATTTTGTGTGTTTGGCGTTGTACATAAATGACGTTCATTGGATTGTTCACTGTATGATCATCGAACAGAACATTGTAAGAAGTGTGAACCCCTCACAAGGATTAAACATCAATTATAAACGATTCCATCGACATATAGTAATTAAAACCAATTTCACGTGAATATTTATTGGCATTAAATGATGAAACTTTACGGTAAACCCCAAACTCTAATGCCAGCCTTTAAATGCGAAATTGTGAAAAGTAAATTGAGTGATGCATGTGTATAGATTGTAAGACAATTAAATTATTCATTGAACCGCCACAATATAGGAACTTTGCAACAACTACATTTTGCATAGAGGAGGGAAAGGAAATTTGAAAGGGAAATTTATTGTTACTTATGTTTTATATTCTGATGAAACAAATTAACGTTAAAAGGGGTGTTAGATAGAGGAAATGTGGATAGATATACATGTGGCATCAAAATGAAGTGGTAAATTAGTTTGAATGCAGTCATTTTGTAATTATTTAAACTGACGATAAACTTTTGCTCTTTGTAATTTACTTCAGACTGTCTTTAGTCGATCGATTGATTATTGTATGCAGTTGAGTGTAAAATGTTATAGGATAGTAGCGTGGAATGAAAAGTAAAATAGTTGTGGTGATGTTTTGTGGTAGATTATTTTGGCAAAATAGTCATCATATATATTTTATAACGTATTGCTCACATAACGGTTTTTAAAATTTAAAATTTTTTGCTCTTAATTTTTTCACCCACTTCGAAATATCAAATGTTGATTTAGGCTCAAATATTAACTTTTGTTGGTGTTGATTACCTTAATATAAATATTAGAACCGGAGCAAACACATTTATCAAGATTTCATATCTTTAAATGTCAGTTTTCACCGAAAAATCAAAGAAAATGAAAGAACACGTGTGCAACCACCATTTTGAATTTTCACAGTTTAAATTGCAAATTTCTTAATTCTCGAACATTATTTGTGCAGAGAATATTTTATTTTTACAGCAAATATTTTAACAATCTTCGTCCTCTGCAAATTAAATTAACCCTCAAACACCAAACATCAATTAATTTTCAAACAAAACGCCAAATAACACAACTCACTCATTTTCCTCAGTAAAATATTCATCGTACATCCAATAAATAGATTAATTATTCAAATTAAGCACTCAATTAAATAAATTAAGCTCCATAAACTCGTCACTCAGTTCACAAAATTAAAACGAAAATTTTTCCATCAATTATGCTCATATTTATGCACAACAGTAGCATGAAGAATGTAAATCAAAAATTATTATCTGCGCTTAATTTTTGTGCCATTCTCTCTCTATCCACTCTATTCTCGAACTCAAACTAAATTTTCGAGATCATTTTTCAAAAACGAGAAAAAGCTTCTGCTGTTGACAGTAAGGCCTTCACGATTAAATAAATAATCTTTTATCGCAATAACTGCATCGAAAAATATAACAATGAAAAAACATTCGAATCTACACAGAAAAATATATATTTTTGTATGAATTATGGCACAGAAAATGGTCATTTGTCTTGATAACAATAAAACGATAACAAAGCACAAGCGATTTAATTCCATTTTTTTTTGTTTGTTGCACTGCAATGGCATCGAGGAGTAGAGTTGAAAAAATATTGCATCTGAGAGTGGATCTTGTGAAAAAAAAATCTATTTTATTTTTTTATCATCATTATTTTGGTGGGGCTAGTGGTGCTTTTAAAGGGAACCTCAAGTCATTTTTCTAAAATATTTGTTTCAATAGATGTGAATGGGCTCTACTTGTCCGTTCGTTCTCTGAATTGTCGGTCTGCCTTTGTATTAATAATTCAGTTTATTTGTCTGTATGTCTGTCTGGTTGTGTGTCTTTTGTTCAATTTGTTGTTCTGTCTATTGTTTAAGTTTCAAAATCATAGTGCTTAGATCTGCACAATGTCCTCATAAGCACTCTCCGAACCCCACAGACAAAAGAACCATCAAGAAGACCACAAGCAATTCTCTTCCATTCCAAAGAATATTGAAAGAAAATTGAGGTTGCACGATAAAGCTCCATTAGATAGTTCAATGATGGAGAAAAATAAAGGCTTTGAAAATGACTGCACGCCATCCATGCTCACCATCAACTACAATATACTATGCAATTCCATATATGCTCCATTTCATGCTTAAGCTTGGGCTTCATATGTTCCAATTTATAACGAACAATAAACAATAATGGCGTTCTTTAAAATGAAATAAAAATGAAAATTTCTTCCAATACATTTTCCACTCTCTTGATAGTTCTCAATGAATTTTCATCATTATGATGCACAATAAAGATGAGAGAGAAAATAGAATTTGTGAGCCAGAAAAATAGACTGCAAGAGGATATGATATTGGAGATAAAATTGGGGACAAGTAAGAGGGTGTTGTGGGGTATAAGGCGCATTTTTTGAGGTTAGATTTGGGAAAAAATTGATTGAGGAGTATTTAATGCCATAAAATGGTGCAAAAACTTAAAACATTCCTTACTAAAAGCTATCAATATAATTTACAACAATAGAAGTAATAAGACTTTAAATTCTACCATTTTAAAAAACATTATTATCATTAAAAAATATGTTGTTCATACAATCTAGGAAATTATTTATTTTCCCGAGTACACATATCACTACAAAGACCATAAATAATTTATTTCATATGCTTTGCTTCCTTCAACTAAATAACTACAACAAGTCACGAGAAAATCGCACTCAATGAAATAAAACTTAACATTTATTATTATTTGTGGAGCATGAGTGAAAAAAAAATTAAATTTTTTCAATGAAGAAAAATTGCTGTTCATGAGGAGATAGTTATTGTAGTGTACGGAGAGTTTTAATAAATTTTTCATGGGAAATAAAAATGAGGAAGAAAAATAATCTTTATCTCCATTAAATAGATTTCCCCAAGTTGTCGTGCTAGATGAGATGGTGGAAGACTTTTTTTTCTTGATAATTTGTTTTGTTGAATGTAGGTTGTAGGTTATGTGACCTTTAAAGCTTTTCATGTTGTTGAATTTGACACAATTTTCATTAAAACTTTTTTTTGAATTTCATAATTTTATAAAGCTTATTTTGAATTTTTTTGATATAATTTAAAAACAAAGAAATTAAAAAAAATCTCAAAGCATTCAAATCCTTAAACATTTAACAATACCATAAATTTCATAAACAATCTCATTTTCCTCCATCATCTCCCCGTCAACCCCTTCGACTCCATTTCTCTTACAGATATCATTCACATCCATACATTATTTTCTGTGCCAAACTAGTAAATTTAAAAATCATTGAACCATAAAAACATCTTTGTTTGATATGTGAACATCTACAACTTCTATTATTTCTCCTTTTTCTTGCTCAAAATAATAAAATAATAATTTTTTCCTTTTATTTTATTTCTTCTACAATCTATCCATATCTGACTTTGTTGCAATTGAATTGAAATTATTTGAACGTTGTTTTCTTAGTAGTGTGGGTCTGTTTATGATCCCTAAATGCTTCCATTACAAACCAGCATTATAAAATCAACCAAAAATTCACTTTTCTTCTCAAATTCCACTTCCAACCCTCTCAAACATATTTAAGCACCTCCAATCCCCTCAAATCTTCAAACAACCTGTCCGACAAAATCCCTACAACATCCACACAGTCTTCCACAACTAAACAAGCAAGCAAAAACCTCGTTAAAAAGAAAAGAAGCTAAGAAGAGGAGCAAAAAAAAAAGTACAGAGAGAATGAATGTGCAAGTTATGGTTACGAGAGTGAACAAGAAATGATATATTCAAGAAGTATTTCAATAAATAAAAGATGAGATGAGAAATCCATTAAAATTGCAATTCATTGCTGTCTTCTTTTACTTTTTTCCTATATTTTATATGGTATTGCTGTTGCTACTTTCACATATATATTTTATTTTTGGATAGATACCATTTTTTTTAATCTTTTTTGTAGTCACAGCGCTTTTGTTAAGAGGTTTTTAGGATTCTTGAGTGAGTTGAGATTGGGCTTGAGTCAAAATTGAGATAACGTCTCACTTTTGAGTCAACATGGAAGCAAAGACTCACATTTTGAGTTCAAATTGAAGCGACGGCTTACTTTTGAGTCAAAATTGAGGCAAAGACTCACTTTTCAGTCAAAATTGAGGCAACGGTTCAATTTTTGAGTCAAAACAAAAGCAACGACTCATTTTCGTTTCAAAACAAAAGCAACGATTCACTTTTTGAGTCAATGTTGAAGCATTGACTTTCAATAAAGACAATTTTAAAATGACGAGTCAATAAGAAAACGACGATTCAATAATAAAGCGACGACAATTGTATAAGCCAATAATAAAACCAATAATCTACTTTAACAATACATTTACGGCGCGAACATCCCAAATAAAAAACTCCTCCCTCCCAAAACGACTAAAACTTCCATAAAAATGGCTTTCTTTATTTAATTTAAATTGAAGAATAAAAGCATAAAACTTTATCCTTTGTATTGCAATAAAGAACTCCTTTTAACGCAAGCAAAATAAAAAGGAAAAACTTCTCAATTTCATCAAAGGGAAATAAGGAGGAAATTTTTCTTTAAATTGCAATAAATTTTCTTCCGTTGTCGCATAAAGAACAGCCAAAAAAAAACATCTAGTCGTAGAAAGAAGAAGAAAAGCCATAAAAATTTTTTTTTTCATTGCTCCCAGTGCGTAACAAATTTCCATTATGGTTTTCGCGCAATAAACATCAATAAAAGAATATCAAAAAAAAATATTGGGAAAGGAAATAAGAAAATCCAATTTCTCAGGCTTGCGGGAACGACTTCAAAACAGCCATCAATTGCAACAGGTCGAATGGAGGCGCACAAAGCACATTACATTACCTTAAATTAATGAGACTTTTGTGACATGAGAGAAAGTAAAAAAAAAATTTATTCAATGGCTTTTATTGCTTTTGGGACAGACTTTTTATTGCCATTCTTAAAAAATATTTTTATATCTCATTCATGAAAAAATTGCTCTAAAGTGTACTAGGGGTGGTGGATGTGGGGGGCAAAATTCTTTTTGAAGTTTTTATTTAAACTTAACTCGCTCCAATTTTCTTATTCCTCATTTTTAAGAACTGAAATTACTTGGAAATAACCCTAATTTTGTGTTTTATTGTACTCAGCATCATAACACTTAGTCAATCATTCTAATGGCGCATTGACGATGTTGAGGAATTTCATTTTGTGAAGATGGTTGACGATTATTTTTAAGGAGGTGCTGGAGTATGTTTTGAGCATATTTTTGAGGTTCATAAGCTTATAATCTATGCTAACATGACTCTGAAGGTGAATAATGTGTGTTGTAATGGAGAAAAAATATTAAAATTGTTGTTAAAAAGGATCATGAGAAGTAAGCACACTAGTTATTGCATACAGAGCGTTTCGTTAAAAATTCAGAAGAAAGAAGATCTAAAGCTCCATGAAGTTGGACAATCAGCGAGTTCTAATATACAATAATATTTAAACAACCCCCAAAAACCTGCAAAATACCTCAAACACATAAAATAACCCAACATAAAGTCCTCCATCACCCCCCAGCCCTCCATAAAAAAATTGTCAATATTTCATCCCACCCCCAATATTAACCAAATGAAGTCAACTTTTATCGTACATTAAAAGAGAAAAAAAAGTTATAATTATTTCGTGACGCCTCATTTATTTTGATAAATTATCATTTTTTTTCTCTCTTTACCCAAAACCCCTTCCATTTCGCGTGCATGCCATAAATGAATGGCAATGTCACAATTCTTCTTCGGTTTCTTTTTTTTATAGAACATCACGAAAAGATGAACAAGAAGAAAAAGGAGCGAAAAGAATATTTCAAAAGAATTTGTTTCCCTTTCATTTCATTGATAATGTTCTCGGGCATCAGCAGCAACAAAATGGAAAAAGAAGAAGTATTGATATACAATTTGTTGTTTTCTTAGATTGGGGTAGAGGAAGTGTCAATATTGGGGAAACATAGAGAAAGAATTGACCTTATCCACATTTTAATCTTCCCATGTTTTCTCTGAACATTTTGTGGACGTAATCTTTTGCTATATCTATTCGTGTCATTACTTCTCAACCATTTTTTTTGGATCGCTTGAAATGTTTTAAAGGTTTGGGATGAGTTTTTATATTTTTATTGGAGTTTATGAATTTTTGAAGGGAGGTAGTGGGTTAGGAATGAAGTTTAAAGTGGATTGCAGAAGTTGAGAGCTGTTTCGAAAGATTCGTACGATGGGAAGGTTGTTCTAATCTCAAGGACACTCAAAATAGTTCATTTTTAACTTAAAAGCTTCTTATCTAATTAGACCCCCCCTCCGCCTTTATTTCTGGATTCAACTGAACCTTTAATTCCTACTCATCAGTTATCAACTCATTTAACTTAAATTTAAATGACCTCATTTTTAAAAACAGAATTCCACTCCTCATCCTTTATCACTCAACAGCAGTAAAATAAAGGACATCACAAAAAGCAGATCTCCCCAAAATAAAATACCAACAAGATGAAGCACATTCCCTTTTATATTCACAAAGTGTCATCAAAAAAATTTTTTTTTCCATCATGAGGCTTAAAATATCCACAGCACAACCGTCTGTTATGTGGATGTACATGCGAATGAAATGTGATGTAGCCGTTGATAGGAAATCAATGAACGAAAAAAAAGTAACAAAAAAATCGTAAAATGATGCTTACCCTTATCATTATCAATGCCATCATTACAGTTCATCTCCAGTGGTGTGGAACAATCAGACCCGGCCCATCCTTCTATACAATCGCAACGGTATTCGCCATCTTCTAATGTACATTGACCGTGACGTGAGCATCCATTTTCGCATCCAGCTGTCAAGAAAAAGAAAAGAAAATGAAATTGAGATAAGAATTTTAATGTGGATGGAATTTTGAGGTTATGGCACTCTGAGAAAATTTGCAGAATCAGGCACAGCTTAAAGCTTCCTAAAGATATGAGCCCAAAATTAAACTCAAGTATCCAGAGTGCACAATCCTATCCAAAACAAACGACAGCTACTTACGTAATGTACAATATTTTCCATTCCATCCTTGTGAGCATACACAAGTTCCATTTTTACATTGTCCATGTGCTGTGCATCGTGAGTCGCATGTTAATTGCTCACATAATGCACCCGTCCAGCCAGGATTGCAACGACATCGTGACGATTCACAAATTCCATTTGGTCCACAATCTAAACTACAGACGGCTTGTGAGCAGTCATGTCCAGTCCAATGACGATCACAGACACATGAAGCAGCTTCTAGATCATAATGACCATGATCGGAGCAGCTTGGTAGACATTTGTAGACTTGTTGATCTCTTGTGGCACAATCATTACCTTGCCATCCAGCCTTACAGAAACATTGACCAGAAACACAACTTCCATGTCCCGAACATGTTGGATCTTGACAGTCAGCTTGATCACAGAATGGTCCTTTCCAGCCACGATCACAATGACATTCGCCTTCAATACAACGTCCATGACTTGAGCATGTTGGCATCTCACACTCATTTACTGGTATATCACATTCTGATCCTTTCCAGCCATCTTCACAATGACAAACTCCACCGCCATAATGTCCATGTGCTGAACATAAAACCGGACAGACACTTTTCGAGCAATCAACACCTTGATATCCATCAATACAATCACATTTACCCAAATAACATGATCCATGTCCACTACAGTCATTTGGACAACTGTTGCTAACGCCTTCAGCTTCTGCGACAATTAATTGAATAGAATGAGCCACAAGTTCATCATTATAGATCGCCAAGAACCATCGACCAATATCAAGATACTGAATAACTGTAACATTAACCATCATTGTGTCCATATTGATTTTATTACCATCTGGTGAACGTTTGGATATTATGTGCTGCTCATTCGGTGACAAATGTAGGTATGATGACATATGAAAGTCATTGTGTGGTGTCAATGAATTATCATCAATCGATGACATGTCGAATGTCTTTGGTTTGACCCTCTTCAAGCCATCAATACTCGTGTCATCATTGTCTTTTGGCTTCACATCACGACTATCAGCAAGCATATCATATGTCTTATCATAACGTATCATAATCTCATCCATAATGTCACGACGTCTACGTATTCTATTTTGATCCAATCGTCCACCTTTAATAAATTCTACAAAATCATATTGTGTTATACTTGGAAGGACATTGCGTCGACCATAAACAGCAAAATTTGCACCCCACGGCATTGTTAAGTTGAAATGTACAAAAGCCGGATGTTTATTACGAAACTCAACATTCCAAAATTGATATGGCGGTATGATGGTCTGATGAAGTACATTAAAATCTTTTAATTCCATAATTTGTGGTTGTACAAGCGGCGATTGTAGCTGTTGATCTTGATAAGTTTGATGATTCTGATACGATGTCGTGTGATCGATTGTGCTCAATTGAAGTGTCTCCTCTGTTGGATACGTCGAACGGAATCCATTTGAATTTAAACTTTTCATTGTACCGTCATGATGATTTTGTGGATTCGCTAGTGATTGTGATGATTTTACATCCTGGACTAGAATACAATTTGATGGATCAATATTTGGTTTCATCGAGCTCACTGCTAGAAAGAAATGGGAAAGAAAAGGAAATTGGTGAAAAAGTGCATTGTAAGGTGAATTATTATTTTTATGAGAATTGAATTTTAAATTTTTTTACAGTAATTGTATTGATAAGGATTGGACGATTTGCGAATTATGCTTTAACTGTTAATATTTAAATTTTTGAAATCCATCAAAATTTGAATTTTTGAAATACGTTAAAATTTGAATTATTGAAATCTGTTTATATTTGAATTCTTGAAATCCGTTAAACTTTGAATTTTTGAAAACCGGTAAAATTTGAATTTTTGAAAACCGTTAAAATTTAAATTTTAAAACTCTATTGAAAAATGGTAAGTTAAATTAAAAATTTATAATTCCAACAATGAAGATCCATATTGCTTTCAATAACATCCCATAAATCTTATATCCCTCAACCACCATCCCCAACCAGAAGTAAAACATAAAAAAAAGTTTGAAGAAACGCTCGTAAATCCAATGAGAATTATGAATTTTTAATTTCATAAAATTGCAAAATGAAATGTGAAAAAAATCTTTCAGTCATTTCAAAATCAAACAATTGTTTTTACATTGCAATTCCACTACAATTCGTGAAATCGGAGATGGAAGAATGAAAGTTTCCTGTGTGCTTTTGTGAATTGAGGTGCACTCAAGGAAATTTTCATATTTCATTGTAAAAAGTTGCATGATTTCTTATGAAATTGGTTTAATGTGCATGTCATGAAGTCTTTTGTGTGATTCCTTGCGAGAAATCTTTGGGTTATAGTAAGAAATGATGTAATGACTGTAATTTTTAAGTTCCTGTCTTAATTATGACATAATGTGAATATGCTGACAGGTCTTTAACTAGTTGCGTGACTAGATTGATGGAAAAGACTTAAAATTACATAAACTGGACGTCTTTTGATTGCATGAAAGCTCTCAAACGAACTACAATATAAAGGCTCGTTAAATAAATATTTGAATAAAATTGCGTTAAAATCTGATGTTCAAAATAATTCAAATCTCAAACATCCGTTAAGTTTAAATTTTAAAAATCTGTAAAAGTTTAAATTCTAAAATCCTTTAACATATTAAATTCAAAACCTAGATAAGATCAGATCAGTAAGCACTTGAAAATTAATAATTGATTCTTCTCAGTGCCTCACAAAAATTCAAGTCATCGAACATCACAAATAAGGAAAAAAATTGCACGAAGCATTGAAGTGAAAAATTTCTCATCAAGCAAAAAAAAAAAAGAAGGAAGAAAGAAAATATTCATTGTACATACTTTGCAATTTCTATTCTCACTAGAAGTAAGTAAGTTTTTCCCTAAAGGCTTCAACCCCGTAATTGAAAAACAATTCAACATTTTTTTCTTCTTCTTCTTTCCATTTCCTATTTTTTGTGTTGTAGTTTGAACAGAAAAAAATGTGAAACTACTGAGAGAAGAAAAAAAAACTTGTGATAAGGAACACAAGGAAGAAACTTTGTTACAATTGTAACTCAATTTTCAGTGCTGTTTTTCTTAGAATAATGGAAAAATCAATTTTTTTGTTCACTTTGTAGATTGAATGATGAATATTGATGATATTAGTTTGGTGAGTTTTTACTAAAGTTTTATGTTTTATACAGTTTGATATTAGTAGAGAAGAATTATGAATTGTAAAAATCGTTAAATATTCGAACTGAGCGGGGGTTGAAACTTATTTGAACTTCTTAAAAACCATCAAATTTTTAATCACAGCGGGGCTTGAAACTCAGTTTGAACTTCTTGAAAATTGTCAACTTTTTGAACTCAGCAGGGCTTTCAACTAAGTTTGAACTTCTTGAGAACTGTCAACTTTTTGAACTCAGCGGGGCTTTCAACTAAGTTTGAATTTCTTGACATCTTAAATTTTTGAACTCAGTTGACTAAATTTGAAGTCATGCTCAAAATGCGCCTTATCCTCCCCACACAAACAGAATAAAATTACAAATTTTCTTAAACTAATTTTCTCTCCTTCATGTTGTTTTTCCATACTGCTATCACTGATGTTTACATTGCATTTCATTGATTCATTTTGACGGGAGCTTTCAAGCTAATTAGTTTTTCGTGCAGTAAATTAATGGAATTTTCTTTTTTCGTCTACAGTCTACAGTCGTTTTTTTTTATAGTATTATTTCCAAGCTTATTCTGAAGGGTAGTAAAAAAATTGAAAAAAAACAATTCTATATGGATGGTACAATGGAATGTGTAATCCATTAGACAATTAAAATAGGAGCTATGAACTTGTAGAATAAAAAAATATTATGTAGAGGTATTTTTTCCCATGCATATTACTCAGCACATATTTATGCAAGAATTGAGATAGATAGTAATATAATGAATGAATTCAGGAGGAAATTTCATTTTGAAAATTTAATTTTCATACATCATGGCATTTGCTATTTTTATCGGCTATTCAAGGTAAGTGGGGGAAAATGAATTTCAATTTTCTTGTCGGATAAAAAAGTAAATTTTCATTTCCGTGATGAATTTTGGACATTTTTTGGATGGGTTTTTTCAAGGGTGCGGGGGTCAATTTACATTTTTTCAATCAATTTTTGTGGGTTTGTATTGGATGTGACGTGACGTTAATAAAGAAGGATGTTTAAGGACAGGATGGATATAATTTTAGACTAATCTTAGAACTTTTGATCTCAGCGGGGTTTGAAACTTAGTTAAAACTTCTCGAAAACTGTCAAATTTTTGAACTAGGCGTGGATTTCAACCAAATTTGAACTTATTGAAAACTGACAACTTTTTGAACTCAGCGGGGCTTTCAACTAAATTTGAACTTCTTGAAAACTATCAAACTTGGCAAACTTAGAAATCGAACCCGTGATCTAAGTGTTGCCTTCCTAATCTAGCTTCTACAACAACCACTGTTCAATATTTCATTCACATTATTCGCATTAGCAAGTCCAAATAAGTGTTACTTAATATTCTAACAACTCCAATCTGAAATTCCTATCCCCCAACATCCACACAACCCTACCGACAATTTCCATCCATCCAATCCAATCATCATAATTGCCACTCACATAAATTTATGTTGACTTTTAATTTGATTTTTGTATTAAAAAGCATTTTATGAAGATTTCAAAATAATTATCGTCAAAAAATAATGCTCGATATTTGCTAATTGCTCCAAACAACAATCGATGTTGCATTGGAACGCGATACGACACATGTGAAGTAGAATTTAGCGCATAGCGCTAATGCATATTTAATATTGGAAATGATTTTTAATTTAATTTTCAACGAGAAATTTTCTTTTATTTAACTTGTATTTTTTTGCTATTTTTTGGATGCATTGCAAATCGAATGAATTGAAATAGCTTTCGAATGTGAAGGAATGAGCTTTTCATTTAATAATAACTCAATAGACCATATAGTGATCGAAACTCGTTCTGTATTCAAGTAGCACATTTTCGAAATAAATATAAAATGAACATATATGGATTGGATAGAGAATTGAGAGGAATGTTTGGATATGTGCGGTTGGTGGGTTGATGACAATGGCGCAGTTTTTGGAATTGCATTGGGGAATGTTGTGATCAAATTTTTCAAATACTAAAGGCGTTTTAAGAGATTTGAAGCTTTTAAGATGATATGGAGATAGGCATGAAGTCTTAGAGAAGACACATGGCCTCAAAGCTTGGGATAGGATATATAGCTCTGTAGCAGGCATAATCTCTGTACAGGAAATGAATATGTAGAGTCCAAAAGCAAAAATAAGGCTTAAGAAAGGACATAAAGCTCTAAATAGGTCAATAAACCCAAAAAAGGACAAACCGTCACAATAAAACCCTCGACACAATTCTCAACTATTAAGTCTCCATAGAAAATAATACGGATCAAGAGCGAGAATAAGTGTGAGCGATAGAAGGCTACAAGGGCAAATAAAATATCGTAATCCATCGCATGCAAAAATAAATTTCATTCAATTAATCTTTCTTTTTTCCAACTGATTTAGAATGCTGCATCTGAACGACATACATAGGGAAATTTTATATGCACATCCACATTGTACATATTCCACTAGTTTCTGTACATCTTCAAATTGGATAGAAACAAAATCCTTTCAGAGTCATTTGTTGAAAATTACGGATGTACAGAGTATCTAAAAGCATGTGGAAATTAAATCAGAATAGAATATGAATCATAGTCCCATTGACCTCATTTCCTGTATACTGGAATATATTTAATTTAATTTGTCAAGCTTCTTCTTTCTGCATTTTTGGTCTTTTTAGTGCCATTTAAGTGATTCATCCTTTTTCATTCTTCTTATTCATGAATCTTTTGTTTTGTTGACTGCCTGGAACAGCAATAAAGGATAATTGTTTACAGGATGCTTTCATTTAAGATGGTGTGCTGATTACATTTTACTTTAGATGCAGACCATTAAAATGCTAATGGATACTTGATTATTATACATTCCAACCCCTATGGGGTTAGTGTAAAGGAAGCAGCAAGTAATTACATTTGTTGCAACTATCAGTTGAGATGGACAAGATTGTTAGAAAAGAACTTGGAAATGGGAAGCTTGTGAGATAGTTTAAGGGTAAGGTATCAAAATTTATAGCTTTCAAAACTCCTCAAACAGCGCCCTTTAAAAATAAAAAAATAAAGAATTCAATTCACCATGAATCACACTAGACGAACATTAAAGTCAGCCAAGTTTCTCACACATAAAAAACTTAAATATCATTAGAAACTTGAACATTGAATATCATTAGAAGCTCTTTTTAATCCTTTTTATTTTCAATTCCCCTCTCCGTCTCCATTTACCGACGTCTGCAATGATTTTCCAAATGAAATGAAATTTAAAATTGTATAAAACTGAAAAAAAAACTGCATAAAAGTGAAAAAATTACGTATTTTAAAAATAAACGGAAGCTACCAATGCTCACTGAAGACGAGCAAGGAAGACGAGAAAATCCCGTTAGTAGCTGTCTAATTTATGATCCGACTAATTCACTTTGAAATGTAAACGCTAGCTTTATAATTATGTTGTTATTGTGTGCTCACATTCATGCTATATATTCCATTTCCATTTTTCTATTCATGTTGATTTCCCACTGTAGAGAGACTAAAAGGATTTTTAATGATGGCAATTTCTGGCAGTGTATTTGCAATGTATGAAAATCGGAGAGCTGTAAAACATACATTTCCTCCCTTTTTACAGTTAAATACAAATTTTTTTTTTTGTTGCTTCTTTTGAGTCAGCATGAGAAAGGGATTTTCTCGTTTTTCGGGTGATGTAAGCAGGGTTGATGGATAAGAGTGTTCTAGGAAGTGCTTGATGTAGTTTGTTAAACAGAAGTCACTAGGTTTAGTTGAATTTGATTATGCTGCATGATATTCTAGCACTTTTGAATGTTTTATTGGTGAATCTAGCTATTTTGAATGTTTTCTTGTTGAATTCAGCGCTTTTGAATGTTTTGTTGATGAATTCAGCACTTTTGAATGTTTTGTTGATGAATTCACCGCTTTTGAATGTTTTATTAGTGAATTCAGCGATTTTGAATGTTTTGTTGATGAATTCAGCACTTTTGAATGTTTTATTGCTGAATTCAGCACTTCTTTTGCTCAACTCAATGTTTTTGTTCATTTGTAAGCTGAATTCACCGATTTTAAATGAATTTTCACATAACTCTTGACCCAACTCTGAGGATCATAAAATACACGCATGTAACTAAAGTTTCCCGCCTCCCCCATCCTCTGCTATCATCCTTACGTGGGGAGGACATTGAGAATCACATCATCCATTGAGAATAGGAAAAGGAAAATTTTACAACACAACAGCCAGCGTCAGACGCATGCAGGAAGTAAAACATATAAAATCGGAGATGAATACTAAATTAGAGTCTTATTTAAGTCAAATTTATTCCTATTGTGTGTATAATAATTCAAACATGATATTAATTTAAATATGCTATAGCACACTTCTTCATAATCCATCCACATTCATTCATTCCGTTTTATATGTGCTGTACACACATATTTGCCTTATTTGTATTTGTTTATTTGCCATCTTCAATGAACGTGTTTATATTATGGTGAAGACAAGCAAGCAATTTTGCATGAATGTAGGAAGTAAAAAAATAATAATAAAGTTTTTCATCTTAGGGGCTGTTCACTTATTACGTAACGCGACCCCCCCCCCCCCCTCGTAACAAAATTTGTATGAAAAAAAATTTGTTTGAACCGTAACAAAATCTTAGACCCCCCCCCCCCCCCTCCCCCTAAAAGCGTTACGTAATAAGTGAATGGCCCCTTATGCCGTTCTCAATTTCTTTTCTGGTGTTTTAAAGTTTTTTTTTTATTCCTGCTCATTCAAGAAGCGAGGAAGGAAAAAGCGTGAAAAGGGGCTTCCACACCCACATAGTCTATAGTTTACAGTAAGGCAGACTCAAAATTTATTAAAAAGTTCAAAAGGTTTCTGAAGTAAACTTTAAATGTTTTAAAGTTTTTTTGTTGTTGTTGATACTTTTTGGAGAAATTTTTTAAGGCTTTACTGTTGAAAAAGTTTTCTGTGAGGTGTCTAGGGATTCATAATGAATATAATCGGTATTTTATAGTAATGCCTGTGATGAATTTTTAATGTAAAAATGAAAGTTTGTTTACTTAGGTGAAATGGGAGTCGAGTTGAATTGGGAGATAATTAAGTAATCACTAAAGATATTTTTGATTATTAAATATTGATGAAGTGAATTTTTCGGGTGTAGCTTTTTCAAAATATTAACATTAATTTAAAAAATCTTCCTCAACATGTAATCCTAACCTATAATTTGCCATAAATGAAACTTTATTACTTTTTCTTCTTCACATAAACATCATATATCCATGTCCTCAAGACGATATCTCATTAAATTTCATCACAAGTCCTCGACATTTAAGTGAGTAAAAGACAGAAAACTTCGAGACTTTTCAGCCTTTAGCTTCAAGCATTCTTAAACTTTTTTTTTGTGCTTGAAAATGCTTCATATTATGGAAATGCGAGAGCCTCATAAGATTCATATGAAACATTTATATACACAGACTCTCATTAATGTTACAAGCAACAACATGAAAAGATTCTAAATCATCTACAAGAGTTTTTGTAGGTCTTCTTTACCTTCATCTCTAGTTTTGTTTCATGTAAGCTGCACACACTCGTTTTTTGGGGTAAGTTTATGATTTTAATTAGATATCATACATGTGCATAAACTTACATAACCTCTTTACATCAACTTTAGCTTTTCTTCTTGCTTCTATTGCTTTACATAAGTAAGTTTCTGGATTTTAGAGCTGTTTTTGAGGGAATGTTGACGACAGAAGTCAGTTTGGGAGGGTTTGAGTGGAAGTCTGAGGTTTTACATTTGATGAACTAAGATACGACTTCGTTAAACTGAAAAATGATTTTTGGGACTTAATTTTGAAGCATATAGATTGAATCTGGATCAATTTGGTGTCTAACACCTTTAATTTTCCTTGTTTGGACTAGTTTCTCCCGATAAATCAGGGTACATAAAGACTTAAAAGCTGTCCATATTCTGATTGCCCAAAGTTTACGTAAGCAACAACACTGAACAAAAATTCATCAAAAATTCGCTTCAATCACCTCCACCTCAATCAAATTTAACCCTTTTCATAAACTTTGTTGCCTTTTCCTACTATCTATGTGAGACTGAACGTCTACACAATATAATATAATAGCGATATGATTACACAACGTGAAGAAACTGAAAATTTATTTAACGAACTTTTCCCTTTGCTTTCTTTTTCGACAAGAAAAAAAATTGTAAGAGAGCTCAAAAATGATGAGAATGAGATGGTAGGAAAATTATTAAGTAAGCAATGGCAGTGAATGAGAAAGATAGCAAGAGATGAAAGATAAATATTTTCATACTGAGGAAAGTATTTTCCGTTGTTAAATGAGACTTGTGATGGAGGATGAAGGATGGCGAGAGAGGCTTGAATTTGAAAATTAAATGAGGAACAGGAGGAGGTAAGATAAGATGTGAAAGGGTCATTAGGGCGCATTTGAAATTATATATAGCCTGAAATGTCATTGAGTAATGTAATCTGATATTTAAAAATATGGAGTTAAGTAGGCGTGGATTTTTTAAGGCAGGAGTAAAGATTGCACTAAAATTAGTCGAGACACAAACCACATTTAAAATTTATTAGCTAAGGCACGTGACTAACACGTGTTCTCACCTCAGAAAGTATATTCGTTATTTTAGTGTAAATTGATAACTTTTTAATTCTTAAGCACTCATCACTTAAAGAAAAAAGTGGCAACCATATATCATAATAAACACAAACTAGATTGGAAACATAAATTAGAAACTATGAATAAAATGAGGCAAATATTAAGGTTACGTCTCTCAAAATATCAATTTTCATCTCAACAGACTCTTACATCCAAACTTAAAAGAGTCTTAAAATCAAAGAAGTCCCCAAATGTTCCAAAATGAAAGCATTTCGCTAATTTCTTACTCAAAAAATCTGCTTTAACATTTTATTTTTAGTACATTTAACATTTCATGAATACAACAGGCTCACTCTTAAATTTATTATCAAAATTTTCCAAGAATTTAAATTTAGACTAAGAAAACACTCGAGAACATGAGAATAAAACTTTTCGAGTGTTCTTACAAATACTTCTTGACCTTGTACGAACACAACCTGAGGCTATTTAGAAAACTTTGCATGACTTTAAAGCACTTCCTAATGTATTTTTTGTGTCGCATTTACTCCATAATCTCGGGTAAGGGCATTCAAGTTAGGCAAACAAATTTTCTGACTTAATTTAATTAAAAATCAGCACTTCAATGGCTGTTTGTTTTTACGTACAAAGGTGGAAATAGAAGAAAAGTTTTTTTTTCCTTTTTTGCCTAAACAAGGGTCACGCATTCACATAAATTTCCGACAAAAAATATGTCTAAATGTCATGTTCTTGCATTTATTTCCATTAATTTTTATCAATTTACTTTTTTTCGTGAATTTTTATATTTAATTAAATTTCATTTACTTTGGATTGATTCAAAGGAGGAAAATTTCGTCAGAAAAACTTTTTTGACAGCGACGCGCCACTTAGAAAATTACTTTAATTTGTCGCTTCGCGCTTACTATATTGGCATATTGCGTGACTATCGTTAAAGTTGTCAAATTACTCCTTTCACAGGAGTCTAAGGTTTTTTTTTGGAGGTTAGGGGTTCATTGGTTGAGGAAATTCGGTAAGATTGAGAAATTTTTGGATGTATTAAATGTTCTTGATCCAAAATCACATTGAACCCCCAATTCAACCCTCACCAACTTCCATTTATTGAAGCTATCTACTTCAAAAAAGCCTAAAGCTCAACCCTTTCCCCATTACTTATCACTCAAACACCTCCCATCCACTTGTTTCATTCTCTTTATATTAATAATCATAAAGTGAAAGTTTTTCATTTCTTGCCGCTTTAATTCATTCATAATTTGACATTTAAGAGTGAAAAAAGTCAGAAAATTTTCTTGATTAAAATTTTTTCAAGCATGGAAAGTTTTTAAAAAATTATATTTTTTCACTACAAAAAAAGTTTAAGACGGGGTAGTGATGTCAGGATATTTAAAATAGCATGAATTCACACTCTCGGATTTTGTGAAATAATGCTAACTGATGTGGATAATAAGATTTATTGGCATGACAAGAGAAATTTTTCCCCCTTTTTTTTAATTTCTTCATACTTTTGCATTACTTTTTGGTTGAAAATAAAAAAGAGTTTTTATATTTGAATGTTACTTACTTGCGAAATAGGCTACCATTGTTGCGAGAACAATACTTAACAATATTAAGGCAATACTAAAACATTTCCATGAGCACCTATGCTGAAATCTTTTATCTATCTGAAACCTGAAATTAGAAAAAAAATTGAAATTTTAAATTATTAAAAAGTTTAATATTTTTTTAAATAATTTCAAAAAATTCTGAAATTTTTATTACTTTATAAATGTAATAAACAAATCAATAACACAATTTTTGTCAAATCTACAAAAATATAAAATTCAATTTCTTCAAAAAAAATAAAAAATACATAAAAGCACACCCAAAACAACAACATCATCAATAGCAAGCATAAAATGACAAAAAAAACTAATTTCTACAATAAACAAATTAATTAAATAATCTCATTATGCGAGACACATCGAGATACAGAGACAAAGAGTGAGAGTGAATGAAATTATTGCCACACAGGCACATTCCCTTTCAATAAATTATAATATAAAATATCCTCTTGCCGTGCCGCTGCTGCTTTTTTTTGGAAACACATCACAAAACATTAAATCCTTTCAATCGGATTAACGTACGAAAATAGCAAATTGCCACTTCGCTCATTTAAATGAATAAAATATTATTCATTATTATTTTCTACTGTTTCGCTTTTCGTGGAGAAGTTGAAATTGGATGGGATGTGAGCTGAGTAGATGAGAGGTGCAGAACGCATAAATTTTGAATTTTAACGGACATTTAAATTTTGAATTTTAACGAACTTTTAAAATTTGAATTCAAATGAACTTTTAAATGTTGAATTTTAAGAAATTTTAAATTTTGAATTTAAAAATCACTCAAATTTAAAATTTGATAGCCCATAAAATTCCACATAAAACTTTACATCCACCAAAATGCACCTCATGGACTCCTAAAATCCTCTCTAAAACAATTTCAAAATGCATTTTTGTCTTTGTCGTCGAACAGTTTCAACAGTTTACTTCCATCAAGGAATAACGCACAGTTAAATAGTAAAATAACAGCAAAATATGTGAGCATGCTGATGAGTTGAAACACAAAAACAACAATGAAAGGTAAATTAACAAAATGATTTTTATTAAATAATTTAAAAGCAATTAAAAATCGCTTTCACAATAGAAACACGAGCGTGTGGAAGTTCTCGCTTTTGTTTGATAATTGATACGATTTCATTTGGGAGCGTTAAAAAAATAAATATTTTAGAGCAAAATTTTCTGTTCATTACACATCAATGGCGTCTAATGTTGACGACTAGATTCAAGGTTATCAATTTACAGCATCCAACTTGCTCCATCTCATTATTATCGCACGTACCATTAATGTCATAAAAGTGTGACATCAAAAAAATATTTTTCATTGAACAGAATAATGAAATGTATTATAAAATCAGGTACGAGATAGTAAAAACGTAGGTGCGGTAATGTGGACACAAATTAATGGCAGATATCATCACCAGCTATATTTTTTTACTGAAAAACAAACATTAAGCAGCAAATTTCATTATTTTGATTGCAGTCGTTAGGCTACCGTGCATGTAAAGTAATGGGATGTTTTGTTGGAAAGTAATTTGTGGAAGAAGTCGCGGGATGTATTAATGAATATGTCATTTTATGGATTGACTATTTAAAAATAAGATAGACATGATGGTTGGATTGATGAAATTTTAAAGCGTTGCTGTACTAATAAGTCGATTGCTTTAAAATCCGTTAATTCGAGGCATTGCTTTGAAATCTGTTATTTTAAGGCATTGCTTTGAAATACGTTATTTTAAGGCATTACTTCAAAATTCATTTCTTAAGTCGTCGTTTCAAAAAAAAATCGTTGCTGCAAAAATAATCAATTTTGAGTCTTCGCTTCAATAATTCGTTATTTGAACTCATTGCTTCACTTTTTTAAATAATATAATTTTAATTTTTTAATCGTCGCTTTTAATTAAAAATCGTTGCTTTTACAGCTTTACTGAAAGAACCTTATAATGCAAATTTTATAACAAAATAAATAAATTAATGCACCAACAATTTTCTATATGCTTTTCACACAGACCCACAAAAGAGATTCAATTTAAATATCAAATATTTAAGATGACATATATACCAAAAAAAAAAAACTTGGATATAAAAATACTTTTAATAAAATTTTCTCTCATCTCGAAGGTTAAAAACGAAAATCATGAATATGTAGCAGCACAACATGTCCATAAACACATAAAATCGTACAGCAAAATGTTTGTTTCCTTTTTTAACGTTTTTTTACATGCTCAGAAGTTTTATGCCCCTGACGTGTCATCTATTTTGTTACTCAGCTGTATGTATGTATGTATGTCATATATCCTCTTGTATATGTGCAAATAAATTTTTTATGAAATCATTAATTACAAATGCAATTTATCATTCCGTTTGCGTGTCAGTTGGTTGATGTTCAAATCGAATTATACATTTACAGATGCAAATTTGATGTTTTGTATTTCGCAATTGAAAATAATGCGATGTAAATTTGAGCTAATGCACGTGTGGTTGTCCTACTATTGCTATAATCCATCTATAACTCCTTCTATCCCGTCCCCTTTTGCAACTCTCACTTGTCCCTGTTGCTGCTGAATTTATTTGTAATTGAGAATTTCAACCAAACACCCCCCACACCACAACAGTATCGACACCAACAGAGCTGATATAAAAAAAAAATTGTAAATGAAATAAAAATTTGAATTTTAATTAAGTTTTTTTTTTCTGGAGTGAGCTCCAATTTTTCAATGAAAAAAAAAATGGAACATGCACGAATGTGTACATATATTGGTAATTTAATTGCCAACACTCTAAAAATTCATACACATTTGTGTATGCTCAAAATATAGAGTATAAAAAATGAATATATTCCGGTGAGAGTCGATTTTCCATGTCACAAATCGAAATGAAATATTCAACAGAATATCCGATGAGATGAAAATTTATTTTGCTTCTTTTTTTTTGGCTGAGAACAAAATTTATTGCAAATGAGGGGACATTAAGGTTTGAATTATGTCTATTAAGATTGAGATGGGAAGCTGGACGATAAATTTTTAAAAAATCAGGTGGAATAAATCTCGAAATTGAGGGTAAAAGTTCCATTTTTAAAGCAGTGACTTAGAATAACGGCGCTTTAAGAACATAGAATTAATTTGAAAAAAAAACTAAAGCGATGACTTACTAAAATTTGAATAAAATTAAAGCTTCGACTTAAAAAAGCTTTAACGAAATTAAAAGCAACGCCTCATAAATGCGCTCTAAATTCTTTAAAAATTCATCCTTAAACTCATTTCCCATTCCTCATTCTGACTCAACTACGACTGAGCTGAGACAAATTAAATTACAGTAGGCAACATTCTGTGCAATGAATCTCACATTTTCTATGCAACATGAATAAGTAAAATGTAGGAAAAAATAGGTAGAAATTATAATTTCTTTTGACATGACGTGACATGAAAAGACAAAAAAAAAATTAAAGAATAGTTTTTTTTGTTGAATCATTTTTGTAGAAAAATTTTTCCTTTTTTAAAAAAAATGTTTCAAGAAAATTTTTTCACCCCAAATTAAATGCAATTATAAGACTAATATCAGTATCTGTAATTCAAGCATGTGATACTTCTAAAGTTAAAAGTAAAAACAAGTTTCAATAAAACTTGCATATACATCAGCATCGATTGGCACAAAAAAATACTTTTTTTTCGTACAACAATTCTCGATAAAACTTTTGCTGCTCATCGATATGAGAACTTGGATATAAATTTTCTTCTTGTTCACTGTTTTTCCTGATATAAAACTTCTTACAATCGAGTATAAAGAACAAGAAAACTTGAAGGAAGAAGAAGATGAGAACATCACAGGAAAGAGATATTAAAAGTGGGTTAAACTGCTCTTTCCTTTCTTTTGTACCATCTTCCATGACATGCCACGGAATCTGGTGGGAAAGGGTGATTTCGTCAGAAAGAATTTTTTAAGCTGTGGTGCCAAACTGTAATGTAAAGACTTGTTTTTGAAGCTATCCAAAGCATTTCATTTGAAAATCGTTTATTGGTGTACAGTTTTAGGGTAGGTGCACCGGTTAGGGACCCATTCCCTCACACTGAATCAAAAATAGATGCTTTTGACTCCTCTACATCTCCGAAACCTTAAAAAATCTACAAATTCTAACAAATTTCAACCCAAGGACTTTCATTCCATCGAATCTTCCGATAAAAAATGAAAAATTTCTCTTCATCCGTCTTAAAGTTCAGATTTTATTTTGCTTCTCCTTCATGCTCTCAATTTTCCTCTCAAGCGAGAAGGATATTAAAGGAAAGCAAAAAATTTAAAGGGTAAAGTGCCAAAAAAAAGATTCTTCAAAGAATTTAATTTAAGAAAAAGAAATTTTGTACAACAACATGGATTTGATTGAGAAAGGAATAGAGAGCTTTTGGATGTAGCTTGAATGTTATATAAATAGTAAGTTTATGTTAGATGCACATTTATAAGATTTTTGAAGGAGCAAAAAAATGAAGAGTAAATTTATATTAGAAAATCAAAAAGTTTGTGGGTTTTGAGTAATTTTGGGGAAATTTGTTAATATATTATCAAATCCCACATAAAAAAAATTATATTCCTCAAATATTTAACATTTATTTAATTTTTCCTCAGAAATGTTTTTATACAGTGGGGGAAATAATTATAGGCGAATTGATATTTTCAAAATTCTCGAAAATATAAACATTTTCAGAAAATATGTTCTATGTGAAATTTGTGCAGCTTAATATGACGAATATCCCAGCGAAAAAATTTTTTAATTATATTAACTAGAAAAAAAATAACGGCCATTTTTTGAAAAATATGCGTTTCGCAAGTGGAAATAATTATAGGCGAATTTTGAAAAAAATTGTAAAATTTTACTTTAAACTTGAAATTCACTTGAGTTTTCAATTGATTAAGTTATTTAAACATTGTATCAATCCAATTTGACATTATACGCACAATAATTACTGATTTAAATATATAAAATTTGGTCTTGAAATTAGCAAGGAATAAAATTGCAAAAATCAATGTTTTACGCCAATTTGGCAACGATAACTCCTCGATTGCATATGAAATAATTAGATTTTATTGCAATTAATATAGCTCAATAAAAATTTGGTGAAAATGTAGCCAGAAAAAGTAAAAATAAAGAAAAATTTTGATCACATGGCCAATACAAAATGAGAAATTTTTAAAATTTTCACTCAAATGAAAGTTTTGGCTACAAACTAAGGATGACTTCTACTTGCTTTTATCATATCTATGTTTTAAAGAAGATATTAAAAAGATTGAACAAGATATATTTGCAAAAAAAACGCAATTTACGAATAAGCGCATGATTATAAAATTCTCGTTTAATGCAAGCTTTTAAATTCTTGTTAAAATGATCCTAATAACACTCAAAACTATCAGTTATTACATAATTTGTCTATTATCATAATTAAATATTAAATATCTTAAATATATTAAGATACTATAACTTTTTTTAACAAATTATGATTTTGCAAGGTCATGTGTTCCAGTTGACCAAAGTTTTTACAATTTTTGCAAATATATCTTGTTCAATCTTTTTAATATCTTCTTTAAAACATAGATATGATAAAAGCAAGTAGAAGTCATCCTTAGTTTGTAGCCAAAACTTTCATTTGAGTGAAAATTTTAAAAATTTCTCATTTTGTATTGGCCATGTGATCAAAATTTTTCTTTATTTTTACTTTTTCTGGCTACATTTTCACCAAATTTTTATTGAGCTATATTAATTGCAATAAAATCTAATTATTTCATATGCAATCGAGGAGTTATCGTTGCCAAATTGGCGTAAAACATTGATTTTTGCAATTTTATTCCTTGCTAATTTCAAGACCAAATTTTATATATTTAAATCAGTAATTATTGTGCGTATAATGTCAAATTGGATTGATACAATGTTTAAATAACTTAATCAATTGAAAACTCAAGTGAATTTCAAGTTTAAAGTAAAATTTTACAATTTTTTTCAAAATTCGCCTATAATTATTTCCACTTGCGAAACGCATATTTTTCAAAAAATGGCCGTTATTTTTTTTCTAGTTAATATAATTAAAAAATTTTTTCGCTGGGATATTCGTCATATTAAGCTGCACAAATTTCACATAGAACATATTTTCTGAAAATGTTTATATTTTCGAGAATTTTGAAAATATCCATTCGCCTATAATTATTTCCCCCACTGTATTTCCATTAAAAAAAATCAAATTACATCCAAAAAAATTCTAAAGGTATTTAAAAAGCTCTCAAGTGCCCTCCACGAGACTTTTTAAGGTCAGCAAATAGTATCTATTTCAGTCTCATCATCCTTAACAAATAGCGTCGGCAAAGTTTGTAGAAGCAAAAAAAACATAATGAACCAAATTTAATTAATATTCATAGGAACATCATTAAATTAATTTTCTAACATTTAAAAAATATTCATCTACTCTACATTAAAAAAAGCATAGAAAATGGAAATGTAGAAGAGGTTCGTGTTATGAAAAGGAAGGTAAATAAAGTAAGAGATAGGGATTAGGATGCATGAAGTTGAGACGCATGACTATAAGCTTTAGTCAATTAAATTATATCAAACTTATATGACATTGGAGCTGAGTCGACTAGAGCTTTGGTAAGTTCAAAATGCAACGTCGACTTAGCATTCATTGGTTCGAAACTAAACCATTCCTAGTTTGTCTTCTTCTCAAAACTAAAGTTTCCATTAAGTTGAATTTTGAAAACTATTGTATCTGAGATTCGAACTTAGTTCCGGCACCAAAAACATCAACTCTAGTTCCTTACTCTAGTAAGCTTTCAAACCTATTTCCAATAACTCAGCTATTTACCAAAATAAAACATTTCAGCTAGTCAAACAAACTGCATAACAATTTTACAAAATAAAGTTAAAAGTGTCATTTCAAAAACAAACTACAAAAAGGCACACAGAACAATAGCAAAAAAAAATAAAGTAAAGAAGAAAAAAAGTCACACGAAAAAAATAAAGCATAATTAAATAAATTTTCACAGAAAGAACATGACAAGGATGACAGAAAACAGGCATTATAATAAAGAGAAGCGAAAAGACAGATGAAAAATAAAATTCAATAATGATTACGAACCTTGAAGGTGAATAAGGTGAATATTGTGAACCGTGACCAGTTTGTGAACGTAGTGGAAAAACTGGCATAACTAAAGGCGATGAGCCGCCCAAATTGGGATTGTTTGTGCATGAAATACCCTGTGATTGCTGTAGATGTCCGCTCTGTAATGTTCCCAAACTAGAATAAAAGAGGAAAGAAAAAGTTTTATCAGTAAGGTAATTGTCGTCATATTTATGATGTCGAATGGTCTCTATAAAAAAATAGTGTAAGCATTAGGGAGAGAAAAAAAAACTTTTTTTTATAGTCAGACACATAAAAATGTGCTCCTTAATTAAATGAGAAAAGATGAAAATAGACACACAGTGTCATTGGAAGAGACAATGGTGGAAGCGTATTGCCACTATCATCAAAAATGGCTATAACTCTATAGATGGAACGACCAAGTAGGAAGAAGAGAAAAAATTATATTTTTTGATAGCAACAACATTCCCTTCCATCAGCTTTAGTGCTGCGCTTTCTGAGCAGTCGAAATTGAGAATACTTATTATGGAAAAATGAGTGCGAGAAGGAAAAATGTAATGTCTAGTTATTTTAATGAAAATTTCATGTTAATGGCAATGACTATTAAATTTCTCAAACTTTTAATTGCCGCTTCGTAAGCTATGGAGATGTATAAAGGGGTTGGAAGTTGATGTGCCATTGCTTGTGTTATTCTCTCAAAGAAAATGATGATAATTTCTGCATAGCTGTCAGTCTGTTTGTCTGTTTCCTATCTATATCCATATAAGTTTAGCCAAAAATTTTAAAACCACATGGTTAACACGTGGCATTAACCTTATTTTACAAAGAAGTTTGAAGTGAAGATTTATACCTTAATATGCTTGCTCCACTCTAAATATTCAAATTGTCAATACTTTATTCTTTTATTTTTCTTTAATAGTGAGCATTAAACGTCTAAGTTGCGAGGTGGACAAAAATCCAAAATTTTAAAAACCAATCCTAAAGCGACATTATTCTTGATATCTCAGTACTTCCAGTCCTCTGAATTGATGAAATCGTAACAATTTCAACTAACCATAGCAATAGTTTTCGCCCATTCATATTCCTTTCATAAATAAAACGAGAAAAAGAGAGGAGAAAACTTACTTCTGGTCTGAAATTGCACAGATTGTTGCCGAAAAATATTAACTTTTTCTTCTTCTTTTTCACAAACTGATGCTTTTCCATTTTCATTTTTATTTCCTCTAGAATAAAACTTCTGAGTTTCGAAAAATACTATGCCACTGAAAATGTATTAAAGCATCACACAGAAAGCAAAAGAATAAGAAGAAATATAAAATTTTCATCAAAGTGCTGATGATGCAATTTTCAGATATTTTTTCTCCTATTTCGTAACATTGGCACAACAATTCTACTTCGTTCAACGTCTTGTGATAATAATTTTTCTCTCGTAATAAAAATGAACAGTTTTAAATATGATATTAAAGAAAGAATTGAGATGATTTTCTTTTTTGGAGGAAGAACTTGCTTCTATTTTTAAGGGAGGAAGAAATAAAGTTTTGTGAGTTTCTTTTTATTAAAATAAATTTTTTTTTTGGTAAAAGTTGAGAGTTTTATCAATAAAATTTAATAATGCAGACTATAGTTTATTCACGTTTAGACCTAAAGCAGAGCTCTCCAAATTGATCTCATTCAAACATCAGTTGACCAACAGTTTTCTAATTTCTGATATTTCTAAAATTGGAAACCACGTGGTTCATCTGATAATGAAATATTCTGACCTTTAAGCTGATCAAGAAGTAAAAAAGGATCAAATTTGCTTTGCTCCTTCCTAAATGTTCAAATAAAGTCTATTTCATGATTGTAAAATGTTTATTTTCTGAGAATTTAAGCATCAATATCGCGAGATGAGCAAACAAATTCTCATCAATGAACAGCTCTTAATATAAACTGGACGACCTATTAAACCAGTTGAACAAAATTCTTTCTCATCAATATATTAAGACAACAGTCGTAAACTCAGTAAACACGACCTATCTTTAACAACACGAACAGAAATAAAATTAAAGAATAAATTTAAAGAACCAGAAAGAAAACATCGTCATAATAATAATCACTTAGCATAAAAAATCCTCATTCAAATTTCTTACAGAGCAATAATATTTATCTTTTCAACAAAATACATCCAAATTTCGCTAAAAGACTCTCGAAGTCTAACGATCAAAGAAAGAAAAATTTTCATTTATATCCTTTACAAACATTTACATAGAGAAAATTTTCAAAACTTTTTTTTTCGAAACCAGAGAATTTTATAGAAAATAAAATAAAAAGGAACTGAAGACAGCACATTTGTTTCTTTAATGCCAATTCCGTTTCATGAGCGACGAAAAACTTTCAAGCATTTTTATGCTGAACATTTAATTTAAAATTATTGTCATTGGCACATTTAGACGATGTGATGTGCTTCAGTGTGATGGAATGGATGCCTTTGAGGTGATTTTGGACTAAGGTTATTCTGCTAAAAGGCTGCCCTGTTTCTGATGTTATATGGTTGCCATAAGGGAACTACTTGCTTTTTATTGTTGAAGTGATGAAGCAATTGAATCGTAGTTTTGTGATTGACAAAACATCTAGTGTCACTTATTCCAATTACATCCTTTACTAAGTACAATAAATTCCCACAAAATTCACCCAAGAGCACTACTACTCTACATAAAAATCTACAAAACTTTCCTTCCACGTCTTCCACAATTTTTTTTTCCCTTACATCAGCACAAATCCTGCCACACTCAATACTTCGTTAGCTCAGCTCAAGAATTTCTTTTTTTTTTGCCTCTCAAAGCAAAATTTATTGTTCATCAATAAAATTTTATTCGTGTAGCTCATTGAGGATTTAACGTATTGTTATCAATAAAATTTAATGTTTATCTGCATTGATAATTTATTTAACGACTGTCGAATCTTTTTTCTGTATGAAAATTAACTCAGTTTTTTTATCCAGTGCCTTTTGTTTCAAACGAGATTTTTTTTTCGGTCGCCGTGTTTATTGCAAACAGAGAAAATAGAAGAATAAAGTTGGGCGAATTTATGCTTGTTCATGAACGCAAATGTTTGTTAAGTCCTTTAAAATATAGTCGCGTACATATGTAGATGGTGCAGATGGTATGCAAAACAATAATAATTTTGTTTTTGATTTTACGCATAGAACAATGCCAATTTTAATTTTTTTGTCCCGTGAGATGAAATTATTGGAAATTCTTATTGGTTTTGAATAATGTGTATTTGGTTTAATTCAAAGTTAACAAGATTGGATTTAATTCATCTAAATCTTGACTTAGAGCTCCTTTGCTTTAATTAAAAATTTGAAACCACGTTGTGAGCACGTGTTTTTTGATTTTTTCGCTCTTTCTTTAAACAAATATCTTTAAAAATTAGAATTAAAGAAAATTTGTTTGCTCCGACCTAATATTTCGAAATAACTCAATTACATCAACGACATAAGTCAATATCTTCCAATATTCAGCCTCAAAATCACGAGGTGAACAAAATTCCCTCAAGGGTCAAAAACATGAACTTTTAAAATTTTCCCAATTTCTGTTCCATGTTTATTAAGCTCCATGCATAACATTCCATTTAACCTGCCAGGTTTTTATGCAATCAGTGGAAAAAGCTCGAGAAACAAAAAACGAACTTTTCTGTTCTGGCTTAAAAAAAAAACTTTTCAACCACTGCCGCACACTAAATATTCGTATTGTGAATTTAGTTCACAGAGAAGAAAAAATTAAAATGCATAAATAAATAAGAGACGAATAGACTGTATGGCATGTACACATTAGAAAATAGTTATTAAAAGCTTAAAATTTATAATTTGGTATATGGATTAAATTGCGATAAACTATTTTACCGCTTTTTTTACTCTGTTGCTGTTCATAGTCTCACAGAAATTTGCATTTTGGAAAAGGAATGGAGTGAGATTGTGTATGAAAAATAACAACAAAGTTTATAATTAGTGTTGTGGCTTTGCGTCGAACCGGCGGGATAATTTGTTTTGACGCTTCACATGCGAAATAGAATTGTTAAGAGAAAAAGTTTTTTTATTTAATTCCACTATGTACTTTTTAAAATGGGATTTTCTGGTTGATATGGATGCATTTTGACAAGCTTTTTTGAGGATTTTGTTCTGACATATTTTTGGTTAAAATATTAAAATTTTTAAGTTGGATGCAAAATATGAGTTTATTTTTGTCTTCAACTTTTTATGGAGAATTCTGAGAATTTTCAGAAATTTTTTATTTGGATGAACAAACCCAATCCTTGACATCATAACTGAACAACACCATAAAATCTCAACAAAGTTTTTAATTTATTCTCCGTTTTATTTATTTTTTCTCGCTCGTCCATGGATTAATTAAGTTGAAGTGATTTTGTTTTGTACTGCTGAGGTAGGAACTTTAGTGTAATTAATTGCATGTTTTGAAATGAGATTGTTGCAATGTGTTTCGGATGAAACTGTTTTTTTTTTTCAAAATTAAATAAACTTTTATTAAAAGTAATTTTAAATTTTTAATTACCAAAACTTTACAACTTAAAAATTTTTAAAAGCTCTATTTTAATTTAGTTCTGACTCCATTCACCCTCTCCTTTCTTATCCGCAACACTAATAATCCATCATATCTTCCGACACTCACTTAACTGTACCAAAAGAATACCATCAAAAAATTGAGTGATGATAACAGTTCCAGCAGCCACCACTTCCAAAACAGAAAAGAATTCAGACAAAAAAAAGTATAAATAATCCAGTTGATATACATTGCCATCTCATATTCGCTTCTTGTTTATGTCAAATTTATTGAATCAGAAAATTATTCACACATGAAATGATTTCTATTATAAAAAGGCAGTACAATAAGTTAGTGTTAAGGGTGGTGGATGAGACGCAATAAATTATAGAGATTTTTTAAAACTTTTAAAAGTTCTTGACTAGCTGAATGTAGCCAAGGAACCTACAGAAGCCTTTCATATTAAAAATCCTATGAGCTTGAACCATAGACTATTATCTAAAAATGTCAAGCAAGCCAGCCACCAGAAGTCCTTTCTTTATATCCCATAAAATCAAGCTAAATCCATATCCCAAAAAAAATCTCTTTGCATCAAGTTGATGTAATGTTGTGCAAAATATTATCAAATAAATGGAAATTTGATTCCATCATGAAAAAGAAGCAAAAAATTCTCTCCTGCTAGTTCGACTGTTGTTTAAAAGTAATCATCTTACTGTCATATCACATTAACCTATCCTTGACATTGATGACTAAAATTTGTATTCGTAGATCATGCATGAAAATGGCATGGATTTTGGATCACATTTTTATTTTTTTTTTTTTTTTTGATGTAGAGTTGAAATAACAACGCAGCATGAGTTAGTTCTTTATTTAAATGGAGTGGGAAGGTCCTTTTTTGGAACGGAGGATTTTTTAATAGATGTAGCAGTATGTATAGTGCCCTACTTTTAGATATAACTTTTAGATGTTATATTTTAAATATTTATTCAAACATTTTGATTGAAAAGATTTCCGAGAACTTTAAGGTACACAGGAACTTATGGTCTCTATTTGAGATTCTCTATAAAAGCAACATCACTATTTACATCCTTAGCATCAAAATTAACTGCTTCACTATCAATACCAAACTTTACTGACCTAAATAAATGCTCATGTTATCAAACTGTGTGTTCAATTTTAATCAATGAAGAAATGTGTTTTGAATGTTTTTGACTGTGCATTTGATGATGTTATGTTCTTTTGTATCCTGCTGGATGAAAATTGCTTCTCGTGTCTTATTGTGATCGGTTGAATTCAAACAGATTAAAATTGAATCAAAAATAGGAATTTTTTCAGGTTTTAATTGAATTTTCGCATCGAGTGAGAGATTCCAGGAAGGATGAAGCAGTGGATTTTGTGGGACTCTAAAAATGAATTGCTGAATGTTTTCTAGACAGTTGATTAGATATCTTCATTGTTGGCATTTAAATCAATCTTCAAATCAGATTTTAAGCTTGTATGACTCTTACTTTTACTATCAATCAAGTTATTCTAAGCAAACTCATCCCCAAACATACACCATACCACCTTACACATTCAAACTCTTCTACCAAAAATGATTCCCCCCACAAATATTACAATCTTTTTATGATTATGGTCTTAAGAACACAATCGTAGTTATTGTGGTTTTTTCGTCATCGTCGGTCACTCGTTCCGAGCAATTTTCCCTTCCATATTTTTTATCTCTTCCACAACATCATCATAAATACTTTTGTAATCCTTTTCAAAGCTCCAGAATTTTTTTTTTCTCTCTCTTAAAAACCGATGTAATTTTGCTCGATGGACCAGTCAATGGTTTTCTATATATATTTTTTTATGTATTATTATGATGATGTGTTTCTGTGTATAGCACTTATATACACATACAGAATCCACTATAATATTATATGCGGGTATTCACAAAATCCCAATATCCAATTTATTTACGTTCCAATTGAGATATGATATGAGTACAATAATAACAGCAACTGTGGCTCATAATGTGTAATTTTTTTCTTTTGTTTTTCTACCCACTGAGACGTGAAATGTGCATAAGGATGTGAGGGATACTTGGGATGTCTTTAAAAGGTTTTCTTGATCGACTGGAAAGAATTTTTCCTTTTTTTTCGTAGATAATAAAATTGGTTCATATTTGGAAAGGGAGGAGTTTTTAGGATGTTTGTTCACATAATTGGATGAATTTAAAAGATTGTGAATTTTTAAAGAAAAACGAAATCATGAATTTTCATACAAAATATTGCCAACTTATCATCAAATTTTCACAAAATCAGAACTGTCTAATCCAAAAATCATCCATTAAACCACAAATTATCAACAATCCCCCCTCTAAAATCCCATAAATAAATACACCGATGAAAGATGATACAAGACATTCTTGTAAGATACTTTTATCAACGCAGAACGACAATATAGTAACGAAAATTGCAATGAATTACGTAGTAATAATAATAAGCCATCTTAAATCACTCCCTCGAGTGAGTTTGTCATCGTACAACATGTTGCTAAATCAGCTATAAAGTGGCGGTATTGAAAATGTGAGTTTGGGAGGAATTGAGATGGGTTTGGGTATATTTTGACAGGGATTTAAGGGGTTATGTGAGGAAAAATTAATTTTTTAGATGAAGGAATGTTGATAGGGCTCCAATTTGGCTACAATCATCCTAAGGATGCAATGTGTCTTAAGGGTTTTTGGCAATTTTAATCTAAATTCGTTAAATTTTCCAAATCAACCCCTCAAACCCCCTCCGAATAAAATTGCATTAACAAAATCACTCCATCTTAATAATAAGCACGATGCTTCATTTTCATCATAACTAGATTAACATTCAATCACTGACTGCAATTTTCTTTATAACAATAATGATATTATTATTATTATTATTGACTCAACTCAATATTTTTACACTCTAATTGAAGCGAAGAGCAATAAAAATCATAAATTTGATGCTGTTGCTCATCGTCGTCTTTTCCTATACGACATAAAGAAGTCTAAGAAGGGGAGTGAAGAGCAAAATTGTAGGCGAAAAAAAAATCGTAGTAAATAATATTAAATAAACGTACATGTGAGAGGGTTCCGTCTCAATATACGCTGAGATTGCGGATGAATAGAAAAAAAAACTACATTATGGGGTGTCAGACTAGAGGAAGAGTGGAAAAAATTGGCATAACTAAGGTATTTTTCATCTTTTTATGATTGACGTTATCAAACTGTTATAATGTAGCTCAATTTATTTTTTTTCTTCATATTTCACATCTAAATAATACGGAGCAGCACTCTGCTCTCTCTTTTCTATGTGAATACATTATATTCAACACTAAAGTGAACTATCATCGTAAAAATATATATAATATTGTGAGAGGGGAACAGAATGATGATTTTTCTCACTAATAAGGTGTATTATGCGAGTGTCTGTATATATTTTTAAGAAGACATGTGTTGGATGATAAGAGGTGAGTTTGAGAAGTTTGCTGAGGTTGGGTTGGATGACTAGCTTGGATGTTGATTTTCCTGGGGTCGCAGATTATTGCAAAATTATTCAGAATGATCAAAAATTGAAAAATGTAGAAGCGTTTCAAATAAAATCAATGAGGAAAGTGAGGAGCGTAGGTTGGACGGTCATGTTTATACCTCTGATGTGTACAACAAGCTACAAGCCCGAATACACACCCCAAATTTCATCAAACCTACGCCAATATCCTCAATAAAGTGCCAATTTCCTCACAACTTAACCTTTTCTTTATTTTGCATTCTTCTTCACATCAAACAAGATGAGAGATTTTCATATTTATTCTCGTTCAACAAATTTAATGCCAGTTCTTGCATGCTATCTTCTCTTCAACATTCATTCGACACATACAATCAGTGACTAGCATAAAAAGTGAATTCCTCCTTGAATTTAGTTCAGAAGGAAGCAGAAAATATAATAATAATGCGACGTAAGAGGCGATGAAGTGTGAGAGGGTGCAAGGATAAAAAGGCGAAAGGAAAATTGCTTGTGCAAAATGTATAAAATAAAATAAAAAATGCCGCGGGGTAGATACGGGCAGAAAGTGAGAAGATGGTGGAGAATATTTTTTTAGTGTTGAATGTGAGGGACGTACAAAAAAAAGGATCATAAATATTGCATGGTGTTGAAAATTGCCTCGAAAATTTGCTATAAAAAGGCGAGCACTGAAGTATCTCTTTAGTCAAATAAATGGCTCTTGTCGTCAGCACACTACCCCACCATCACCAAACAACACTGACAGCGCATAAAAACAGCAACTAGCAAGCGAGCAGAAAAAAATGAAAACGATAAAAATCTTTCACAAAAACTATTTCCTTGTGAAATTTTGTTTGTGAATTTTAGCGTGGATCTCGCGGATGTAGTCTAGCCAAATTCATAAAAAATATCCAAAAAACCACCTATTACCAATTGTTATCCCTTCTCTCACACCATCAAACCTTCTTATACTTTTCCCAACTCTTCAAACAACCCACAAAAGACCCGCTCACGCTGATCATCTCCAACAAATTTTCATGCAATTTTTATTCCTTTTATTATAAATACTATTTTTTTTTCTCGTGTCGAGTAGTGCAAATGAATGCATTTTGTGGTAGCAATGGCTTTTATGTTCTGTTGCCGTTTCATGTCACAACTGAATCTTGTGCTATAAATTATAAAAAAAAATGCTAGTGAGCAAATGGAATGTTGAATTTGAAGGGAAAAGGGAATTTTTCATTTAGAAATAAAAATAGAATTTCTTTAGCGATGCCTTTTTGATGCTTATTTTGTGATAATACTTGCTGTTTATTGTGTGTTTTGCTGGCTTTGTCGCATTTTAAATTGTAAAAAGTTGTGAAAGTTTTATTAGACTGCAAATGGGAAGTAGGTGCTTGGGGTTAAGGAGATTGGGATCTTTGATGAGGGGCGGTTGGAATTTTATAGTTTTATGAGCTGTTTTTAGCATTAATGTGTTAGTAAGGGTGTAGAGGGACCGTGAATGCCCTGAAATAAAATAAATCAAAATTCCTATTTATTCCTACAAAAACTTAATAATAAAATTATTAAATGAAATCAGAACATTTTTTTTATCAAATTAAAGCAGTAAAGAATCTCTTTTAACATCCGCAACCCTCATAAAAAAAATTCTTAAAAATATTCACCAAATATTCTCCCTATCCAGCATAAGAAACAATAAGAAAGATGATAATAAATTCATTTTTAAAATTCAATAAGAAAAATATTTTTTGTAATTTTTTTCTTTCTTATTTCATATTCATAATTCTCCAGCAATTTATTCTCCCTTCTTACTTCTTTTATTTCTTTCAACTCAGTATCAAATCTCATCGGAGTAAATATCAAGTTTCCGTTTCGTTCGATTTCTTTATTCATCTCTCGTAACGTGCATAACACGATATTCATGGAATCAATGAATAAATAAAATGGAAATGGAGATGATCCTTGTGCATCACGGTGGATTTTTTTTTACTGTGCTGCTTCTTTGTATTTTTTTTACTTCTGGTGTTTAGTGCTGAGTTGAATAGGTGGGTTTGTTGGGGTCATATTGGCTTAGTCGTAATGTTTTGGACTCATTTAAGCTTTTAGGAAAGATAAGATATGTAGCTTGGATATTCTCAACAACCTAATGTCTGTAGCACCCTTTTAAAGTCGCAGAACTTACATTAATTAATAAAAACTCATCAAATGCGCCTCTATCCTTACCAAACCATCCTTATGCAAATCTATCTTCTCACC